AATGAAACAAAAAAAAGTAAATCAAATAAATGAACGAGTAAAAAAAAATGCAAAATATAAATACAAATATTCTGACCAAAAATTTATAATTAAAATATATATCAAAACAGAAATTATAACTCATAGTAATTGACACAAACTAATCAGAATATGACAAACATAATGACATGTAGTCAGGGAGCCAGTAAACATTCTGTCGTACGATTTCAGCAAACTTGATTAATCAATTTCATCGTTATTTTTATTCTTAAGAATACTAGAAGTCTGTTTGTAAAAAAGGTAATCTGTCAGCAAAACAGGCCTTTTTTTTATGACCGACGGGAGCCATAAAAAATAGTACATTCGTGTCAGTAAAAATGATTTTTTTCCTTATTTATGATATAAAAATTGAAAAAATGTTATAAACTATTATTGCATCAAATTTCAACTTTGCTGAAATAATAAAACTGTATTTTTTTACCTGTTTAAGAGGATGGCAGATTGGTATTGTTCCGATAGCACGCTGGCAGACAGTCATTTTATCGCTTTTTATATTATAAATAATTTAAAAAGTCAGCTTTTTTTACTGTTATGACACAAATACACTTATTTAGACAATAAGAAGAATAAAAATCTTATTAGACTTTACATTTGAGAACATAACCAATAAGAAATAGAAATTAAAGGCTCATAACAGTCGAAGCTGGATCTTTAATGCTTAAATAATTCAATATAAATTATATATACACACACACACATTATATATGTACATATATACCATATTTGCAGTCATTTTGAACTACGCGCCGAAATTTTATCAGATTTAAAAAAGTAGCTAAACTACTGAAATAATATCACGATTAAATTTTGGTGCTCAATAGGCACTTATTATGGAAATCTTAATATGTCGGAAATCTGTAAATAATTTTATTTGTTACGAATTACGAAAAATATTACCTCGACCAGGAGTCAAACCAGGATCTTTAGCAATCTGTGCGAATGTTCTAATCTAAACCTTTATCGATTTGATAGTCTAAGGCCGGTACTCATAATCATTTCTTATTTCAAGATCGTTTAAGTAATGTTTTAAGATGCTAATATGGCTCTCTAATTTGGTTCACGACATCTCGAGACAGAATATAAGACGATCTTGAATATAAGAACTGACTATGAATACTGGCTTAAATTTGAATCTAGAATAGGTGTTTTAAGCCTTACACTGTAAGAAATTAACCAATTACGATTGAATGCGAGGAAAATAATTGACTATGATTTGTTCACTTCTTATAGCTTAAGGCTTAAAAATCTATTGTAGATCCGGACTCTCTAAAGGCTTGTTTTAGCAATCATAAAAATAATAAAATTAAATTTGCTGAAATGACACACAAAAAATGTTTACTGATTCCCGGATTAGTGACAAAATGTAAAAGAGAAATAAAATAAACTCATCAATGAGAAGCAATGAATTTGTGTCCACATTTTTAATATTAATTAAAAATAAGTCCCATTCTATGGCACACGCTGCATTTTAATGATGTGAAATATCAAGAATCATTTATTATACAATAAAACATAAATGTATTACTACAATAATTTTACTCGTTGAAAATTTTATACAATTTATAGTATAAAATTATAGTATAAAATTTATAGTATACAATTTTTAGTAAAGTTTTTAGTACCATTCGTTTTTATTTCATTGTTCCTTCTATACACAGAGTATTTCAATGTTTAGTTGGTAAACTATGGAAACATATTTTACAAGTGAAAATAAGAAAAAAAATGTTATATAAAGTTTAACCAGTAATGTCTTATTATAAAATTATAAATAAATATTAAAACGAAATATATTGGTAGCATCTTGGCACACACATTGATAGTATTCTATTAATACTATTCTACGAGAATATAAATCTAACAGTTATTCTTTTCGAGTGTAGCCGCTGTCAGAAAACGAGTATTATTCATGCATAAGTCGAAACGATACACTTAAAGGTAGTAAATATGATTTAAATATACATACGAGATAAACATGTGTTCAAACTTTTCACAAAATGTACACTTTCATATTTCGCACAATGGAAAATCCACGTGTTTCCTATTTCATGTTCCGTTTTAATACATATTTATAACTTTGTAATAGAGCATTTCTAATCAAACTTCATATAACATTTTTTTCTTACTTTTACTTGTAAAATATGCTCCCATAGTTTGTATGTTAAATTATGAAATACTTTGTACATGTACACATTATAGCTATTTCAGGTAAAAGTCCTACCTATGTTCATCCTCATTGCTTGGAATAAATTTTGCACATTCCCTCTTTTGAAACGTTGCTTCTATCCAACTACGCTCAGTTGTCTACAATTTGAAAAACATAAGGATACAATAACTGCATTAGAAAAAAAAACAATGTTAATTCAAAATATATTAAATTTATATATAATGTAATCTTTTTTATCATATTATTATCATACACATCGCATTAATTATCGAGTAAAATAAAGTAAATAATAATAATAATCGTTCAATTAAATTAAAACCAAAATTGCATTTAACTTAATTTAAATTAAATTATAATAATATCCTTCACAATGCGTTAATTAAAAAAAATACCTTAACTTTCTTTTTCTTCACTTTTGGGGTATTTACACCACAGATAATATTTCCAATTGCCATCTTGATGAAATTTGTGTGACTTTAATTTAAAACTAAAGAAAAATAATTTTAAAAAATAGAAACTAATCAATCTAATATGCAGAATATTAGTATTTCTATTTATTGCATATAGTAACATTCCAAAAATTCAAATCTACTAGCTTAAGGAAATAGAAAAAAAGATAATAAAATTATTGTTTTTACTTTTCAATATAATCGCTCTATTTTAATACATTTTTAAAGCAATGAATTAATTTTTCTATACTACTATAAACATTCTAATGATTTTTATCCTTAAAATCATTTAATACTGCAAAGTAAGAATAATAAAATAATAAGAAAGTAAGTTATTAATTAATCACTTTTTCAAAATTGAAAGTAAAAATGATTATTTGAAATAATATTCTATTTCCATATAAAAAACTTATGAATGATAAAGAATGAGCTCTGCAGTATTACAAATCAGTATTAAAAAAAAATATTTCGAATATTATTACAGTAATATAGAAAAATTAATTTATTGTTTTAAAAAATGTATTAAAATAAAAAATGATTATTTACAAAAATTAAAGTAGTTTTATTGTACTATTTGTATCTTTTTATATTTGGAAACATAAACCTTACCCTATGTATCAAACCTAACACAAATTATTGTAAAAACTATCTATGTGAATTTAAATTTTAAATAAACTATATAATAATATATTGTATATAGTAGTACAGTTCAAAGAATATACCAATTAACAAAATTTATAAATGTGTGTATAATGAAAATAAAACCTCTTCTAGAATTTAATTACTAATATTTTCTGCATAAATTATAAAATTAGTCTTTAATTACACATTCATGTAACTGCATAATTAAATCAGATTAAATATTAACAAAATTAAATAAATTTAGCACTTAATAAGAAAATTAAGTAGAATATTAACACAAAACAAAATACTTAGTATAATCAAAATTTAATCCATAATCTCTAATTTAGAAATGTATTTATAGTACTTACCAACCGACAGGATTTGTTTTTGACAATCATCTTTGTCAATCAGAAATAAACATAAATTTTGCTAGAAGAAATATTGTAACTGAAATGCAATCACAATTATCACAATTGTATCAGTTATGTCATAATTTTGTTACATTCTAGTTTCACAAACCAAGCTGAAAAATTCATTACTTCATTTTAAAAAATCATGAAAATTTTACTCTAGAAAAAAATTTTAAATTATAATTTTGTTTTTTGTAATAGACGAAATAAATTGAATTTCGGAAGGTCAAGATATACTCATACATATTGCTTAGGTGAAAAGCATGCAAACAATATGAATGAGGTATAATTTAACGCGTTATCATAAATAAAAACTATTAGAAAGAGTTAGATAAGTTGTACTAATGGAATCGTACTTTCATTGTAATTTTTGAAGGTACCATTTCTTTTAAAGATGACAACGTAGATGTAACACTAGTAATATTGCCTAAATATTACCATTTTTGTTTAATCTTTGAGCCGTCTGTTTCCGAGTAACATTCAAAATTAATTTTGTTTGGTGTTTGATGTAAGTTTTTGTGTAATTTACCTAAGGTATGATCAGCATAAGGCGAGTAAATAAAGCTTAGTATACTACAAGATTATAATTAGTATTTGGACTCTTCCAATATAACATTAAATTAGCATTTTTTGTCGAAGGATGCCTACGGATGAAGGCGAATTGTAGCGTCTCCTACTGCTCCACGCATTACTTTGACGCAGACACTGGATTCTTTGATGTTCTGATATGTATTACATGCATTACACTGTTTTCCTGAGCTTTTATAATAAAGTCTAGGTAAAAGGTTAGATTAAAGGTTAAGTTTTAGGTTAGTCTTATGCCAAGTACAGGGGTGCGTTCAGAAATTACACTCAGATAACTCTTGGGTGCATTTTTGATATAATATACGTAACGTAAACTATAGCCTAGAGTTACCTAGGCGTAATTTCTGAACGCAGCCCTGATCTTTAAGGCGATTACACTGTTCTTTTTGCCTGCACTGTCTGAACTGGTACATACAGTGCAATAAGTTGAAATGAAACAAACGTATATCTGTTTCACTTCAACTTATTGCACTCTGTGTACCAGTTCGGTAAAAAGAACAGGCCCCGCGGTTTGCGGCACCAGGTTAGTGACAAACTCACAACTCTACGTTCAGCGGACTCAACAGTTGAGTGAGCGCTCGCTGTTATCAATCAACCAATCAAAATGCTTCTCTTCCGTGAAGTGGGAAGAAAAGAAGGATTATGATTTGTTGATTCTCTTATGCGTCATGCAAAAATGTGTGTTGCGGCCTTTATATTTTGGAACGTAGCCATAGAGAATAACATAATTGCGAGTACACGATCGTTGAAAATTCGCCCATTAATTAAAGAAGAAGAAGAGTTGAAAATTCACGAAGCTGTTGTGGCGGAGACAATTTAAGGTTATACAAGTTCAGGATGAAGAGATCGCACTCGCGAAGAGACGAAGACGAGGATAAGGAACGTTCTCGTAAGCGCAAAGACCACAAACATAACGATTCCAAAGAGTTAAAGCATAACGGCGATCATAGGAATTCCAGGCTGCACGATGATCACAGGAGTTCCAGACGCAATGACGAGCACAGGAACTCTAAACGGGACGACAGCTACCGCGGTTCTAAGCGCGATGACGATCATCGGAGCTCCCGACGCGACAATCACAGAGATCGTAGGTACACCGACGATCTTAGGGACAGCGACGGTGGAGCAGCTGGGAAGAGGAATTCATCACAGGAGGAGATCGGTAGCAGGTATTATGGAGAACCGGATAAAGCGCGAGAGAACCCTGAGAATGCCAAACAGAAGCGGACGGTAGATCTTCTGACCTCGAGGACGGGAGGCGCGTACATCCCACCTGCCAAATTGCGTATGCTCCAAGCAGAAATCACTGATAAGTCAGGAGCTGCTTATCAACGTATTGCCTGGGAAGCATTAAAAAAATCCATTCACGGATACATCAATAAAGTAAACACCAGCAATATCGGAATCATAACACGGGAGCTGCTGCGTGAGAACATTGTCCGAGGTAGAGGCCTGTTGGCACGATCTATCATTCAGGCACAAGCTGCGTCTCCAACATTCACTCCAGTTTACGCAGCATTAACATCTATAATCAATTCCAAGTTTCCTAACATAGGCGAGCTAGTGCTGAAGCGACTTGTTCTGCAATTCAAACGTGGATTCAAACGGAATGATAAACCTTTGTGCATATCTTCAGGAACTTTTATAGCGCATTTGGTTAACCAGCGTGTGGCTTATGAGATTATCGCTTTGGAAATCTTGACTCTACTGCTGGAGACGCCAACCGACGATTCCGTTGAAGTAGCCATAGCGTTTTTGAAGGAATGTGGTATGAAATTGACAGAGGTTTCACGAAGGGGTATCGAGGCTATCTTTGAAATGCTCAGGAACATATTGCATGAAGGACAATTGGACAAGCGAGTCCAGTATATGATAGAAGTTATGTTCCAGATCAGGAAGGATGGATTTAAGGATCATGAGGCTGTACCCGAAGAACTGGATCTTGTGGAGGAAGAACATCAAATTACTCATTTGATAAGATTGGATGATGAGATGGAAGCACAAGATATATTAAACGTATTCAAGTTTGACGCGGATTATCTTGCTTCCGAAGAAAAATACAAGCAGTTGTGTAAAGAAATTCTTGGCTCGGACGTCAGTGACTCAGAGGGCGATGACGAAGATGGGGAAGAGGAAAGCTCAGACAATGACAGCAGCATGGAACAGATCGAGGGAAAGGAAGGAGTGATTCTTGATAATACAGAAACAAATCTGACTGCACTTCGACGGACTATATATCTGACTATACACTCTTCGCTCGATTTCGAGGAATGTGCACATAAATTGATGAAAATGCAACTGAAACCTGGACAGGAGGTTGAACTGTGTCATATGTTTTTAGATTGTTGTGCGGAAATGCGGACGTATGAGAAGTTCTTTGGCCTCTTAGCCGGTCGGTTTTGCGCTATTAATAAAAGATATGTAACACCATTCGAGCAAATTTTCAAAGACTCCTATCACACAATACACCGCCTTGACACGAACAAGTTGCGAAATGTGTCAAAATTCTTTGCACATTTACTCTTTACAGACTCTATATCGTGGAGTGTACTTTCGTGCATAAAACTGAATGAGGAAGACACCACGAGTTCCAACAGAATATTTATCAAGATCTTGTTTCAGGAACTCTCCGAGTACATGGGTTTGGCGAAGTTGAACGAACGGGTTAAGGACATAACATTGCAGGAGGTGTTTGAAGGACTGTTTCCTAGAGATGATCCGAAGAACACACGTTTTGCAATCAACTTCTTTACGTCGATCGGCTTGGGTGGCTTGACAGACGATTTGAGAGAGCATTTAAAGTCTCATCCAAAGCCAGTTGCTGTGCCGCCATTGATTACCAAGGAAGAACCCTTGAGTTCTGATGAGTCTACCAGCTCGTCATCCAGCTCCAGTTCGTCTAGTTCGACGTCAACGGATTCTTCGTCATCGTCAGAGGATGAAATTTCAGTAAAAAAGAAGAAAAAGAAAATGCTGCAAAAACGAAAAGAAAATAAATCGAAATCGAGAGACAAAAAGGAAGAAAAGACTAAGAAAATACACAGTAAGAAGAAGAAAAGCAAGACGTCGAAAAGAGACAAATAAAACAGAGATAGAAATAATAAATCTTTTTATAAGTTATAATGTATGATAAAACTATTCTGTACAATATATTATATTCTATGATTTATATTTAACTAAGTTTTTTAAATTCTGAGCAAGCAGGAATAATAAATGAAGATACAATATTTATTCTGCTTTGCATACTATTTATTATTCGATAGAAATACGTTAAAATTAGAGATCCTATAACAGAGTCCAATCACAAGCGAGTTGGATAAAATCCTATGACAGAAAGATGTATACAGTATCTCGCTCTATACCTAATATTTCATTCACACAAATTATGTTATATAATTATATATTATCTCATTTTATACAATAGTGTCGTTAAGATATTATAGTAGTATCTAAAAAATTGTTATATTTATAATATCAAATATAAACACTAATTCAATTTATTTACAGCAAAAATGATTGAATGCACTGCTCCATGTTGCAATAATTCCCCAAGTAAAGGTTATATTATGAAAGTATTCCTTAAAGATTTTAAACGAAGCTTTTTAGAGTCTGCGGAGGAAATATTATTAAGAATAGGCATAAAGAAAATGACCCAATCACATTTTATGTGCATCTCTATAAGGAAAATGCGATTGGATAATTTTCTTTATGCATGCGTTTATGCAGCTATGCAAGTTGTGTGGATCTGGATATAGATTTGTTTTCTGTGGCTGAACTAGTGTATACTTTTAGTCTAATTTTACAATGTGCTTTTTGTTTTCTGTTTCTTGCTGTTTGTCTCTTGCTTTTTTAATCAAGAAGACAAGAGACAAACAACAAGAAGTAGGAAACAAAAGTAGGAAAAGATACAACATAGAAAACAGAAACAACAACGTAGAAACAGTATATAACCATTTTTTTTTTCGTAGGAAAACAACAATTCCTTTACAGAATAAAATCAATAAAATCCGTAAAATTCCGTCAGATCGCCATACCATTGTAGTTCCTACATTGACCACTTGGTCATCGATGGCGCAATACATCTTGAGTTTCGATATCTCGCGATATAAAGTCAGCAACGCAATTAATGCATAAAGCATGTGCATAAGGAATTTCATTGGCCCATTTTCTTATGCATGAGTCAATGGACCAATCAAATTCTTTATGTATATGTATTATGCGTTTTGCAAAAGTCTATGCTCCCCGCTTTAAAGTCAAAGGCAGGAACAGAAAATAGACCAATAGTGTATATAATATATCCAAAGTCTATGTTCGATTTAAACCTGCTTTGTTTTCAGTGGAGTGGGGGAATTTTGCCAGCGAAGCTTCACTGCTTGAAATCGTACCTTTAAAGTTTAAAGGCTCCAGTTGGTTTGGGAGCTTCTGGTTGAAATAACGCTAACGATACATCAGAAGACAGGCTTTTTTTGATGTGGTTTTATAATATTATATCCGTTAAAAAATGGCTATTAGTAGCAAACATACTAAGCTGTTTATATGTGCGACCGGCATATTTGTGTGCTATTTCTACTTCGGTATGTTGCAAGAGAAAATTACACGTGGACAGTACGGCGATGGAGAGAATCAAGAAAAATTCTCGTACATGTTTGCACTGGTTTTCGTCCAGTGTCTGGTAAATTACGTATTTGCTAAAATGATTTTGCTGACTGTGATGAAACAAGGCGAGGATACTACATCGACTTTATATTATTCGTTGTCTGCCCTAACATATCTTCTTGCTATGGTGTGCAGTAATATGGCATTACAGTTTGTCAATTATCCAACGCAGGTGATCGGTAAAGCTGGCAAGCCTATACCTGTAATGGTATTAGGTGTATTACTAGGAAAAAAGGTGTGCAATAAGTCTATTTACCAAGATACTTTTTTAATTCTTCTTGAATTTTTTGCTATCTTTAACTATTATTTTTTCCTTTACAGATATATCCAATTAGAAAGTACATATTCATTTTCTTTATTGTCATTGGAGTTGCATTGTTCATGTATAAGGATGGTAATGTTTCTAAAAAGCAAACAGAGGCACAATTATCAGTTGGAGAATTATTATTATTATTATCGTTAACGATGGACGGATTAACAAGTGCAGTGCAGGAACGAATGAGGGCTGAGCACAACTCAAAGTCAGGACACATGATGCTTAATATGAATCTTTGGTCTGTTATTCTTAGTGGCACAGTGATTCTTATTTCTGGAGAACTTTTTGAATTTATTCGTTTTCTGCAAAGATATCCTTCCACTGTATGGCATTTAATGACATTTTCTATAGCTGGGGCATTTGGACAATATTTCATATTTCTAACGGTAGCTGAATTTGGTCCACTGCCATGTTCAATTATAACTACTACTAGAAAATTTTTTACCGTTTTAGGCTCTATATTAATTTTTGGTAATAATCTTTCTCTTAGGCAATGGTTAAGTACATTTATAGTATTTTTAGGTTTATTTCTAGATGCTTTGTATGGTAAAGATAAAAATAAGAAAGGTTCTGTAAAATAGAATGTGATAATTATCTCAGCATTTATTTAGATATACTTTCCCTTGTTAAAATAAAACATAAGGCAAGAAGAAATGTGAATCAAATGTAAAGGGTGAGTGACAGAAGCATAATTAAACTTCCTTAAAACATTTAGATAAGCTTCCATTACTCTCCCTTTACATTCAATTTATGTTCTAATTTGTATTTTTGTTACGGTTTGAATATATACTTCCAGCATTTAGTTAGCATATCACAAACGTAACAACAATTATTTATTTACCATACATATATTAGACTTTCTAATGATATACTCAAGTTAATAAGATGTTGCACAAAAATTGTTATATTTTCTATTTATATTTTTTCAAAATATATGAAAGAATGTTTATAAACGAAAGAGGATTGTGTAATTTCCTCAATTTATACATTAAAGATTAATAAACAATTATAAATTTTAATCAATTATAATAGTTTGTAAAGTTTAATTTCCATTAAAAATATGTATACATGGTTAAAATATACATATGTTTGTATTGTACATATGTATACACTACTGCTCATCAATTTCAATACAATCCAAATTTGTCGATTTCTTTGTAAAAGATAAACATGACATGTATATTTTTTTTCAGTGTATGTGTCGGTTTTAAAATAGCATCAATATGTTATTACGACATTATTACGAACACTTCATATCCTTTTGCATGTATTTTTTTTTATTTTTACGCATTAATTTTGGCGTGTGATATTCGGCTGTCCTATTTCTACAACTAGTTTTCAAAGATTTTTATATAAATAATATATATAAGTACATAATGGAGAAATAATTCATGCATTTTTTTGCTGGAATTTTAAACTTTATTTATACGCAACAGAAAAATACGTAATAGAATTCCACACATATTTTATATATTATTGTCTATGGCTCTTTTTTATTTCAAGCTCGCGCGCGTTGAGCGTTATCGACTCAACGTCGGTAAGTCAAGCCGCTAATATGAGGTGTAGTTCACTTGATGTTACAAATATTTCGAAGCTTTTAATTGACCAATCAGAAGAAAAATTTTACTAATTGATCAATAAAAAAATGCATTGAAAAATTCGTAACATCAAATGGACCGTAGTTATGATATAGTAAATTAATAAGGAAATAAGGGTAAGACCAATCATATTAAAGAATTTTACAACAGTTGCAAAAATGCAAAGCTGCTTTCTCTGCTGAACGCAGCCATTGGGCGAGTTCAAGACGGTAAAGCGGCTAGGTATGCTTGCCGAGCGATTGAATATAATTGGTTATTACTTATAGATCCAACCAATCATACTCGAGCAAGCGTACCTAGCCGCTTTGTCGTCTTGAACTCGCCCATTAACTTGAGTTGATGATATTTTGTGTTCTCCTATTGGTAAAGCGTGTCCACCAATAACAAAGTATTTTCCAACCCAAGTTAGTGCAAACTCGGTCGGGTCGAAAATACTATTCGAATATGTTCAGAGAAAACTAATCCGCTATTTAGCAATTTTTTAGGTGCATTTAAATTCAGAATCATCTCACTGAGCTCTTCAGTGAGCTTTCGTATCTCTGGGTGCAGTCAAATTCTCGTTACAAATGCTTTGAAGCGTTTGATTGACCAATCAGAAGAAAGAACTTTACAAATTGACCAATCAAGAAACGCTTCAGAGCATTTGTAGCACCGCGTTGACGGGGTACCTCTTTCGTACGTTTGATCACGTGATGGTCATATTCTACGCATCTAATTTGCGCATATAGTACTTTTACGTAAGAAAATGTGGGGAGATAGCAGCTAGTATAATATATAGATAGATGTTTGTGGTGGTTGTGTGATTTCGCGACAGTAGTTAGTATTTAGTATCAAACTAGTATCTGACTCGAGAAAACATTATCTACATAATAATTTGTTGCAATTATTAAGAGAATACGAGAACACGACGCAGAAAGATGGCGGAACAGAATGATAGGAGTCAATTACCTCCCGGCTGGGAATGTAGATACGACATTCGCAGCGGTCGTCCGTACGTAAAGTGCACTTCAGAATATTTATTTTTTTATTCTTTTCATTAAATAACTTAGTAATGGAGTCCAAAAATCGAAATCCTGTATCAATAAATTCGTATAACGTAAAGTAGCTGCATATACTTTGTTTTCGATAATTTTTTACAATTCTTGAAATAAATACATGATTAAATTATCAATGTGTTTATTAATGAAAAAGATAGCAATAAGAGATAACATTCTACGTGTGCATTAAGCAAGATGCTTTGTATTTAATACAATTTTGATTAAATATTTATGATTAACGCATTGAGAGTTAAAAATATTTATAGAAAATCGATTTATAATATTTCTTTGAAACAACAAATCAGACACTTATAACTGTTAATGGTGATCTTTAGATATTTCATAAATCATTTTAATCGAACTACAACATGGGAAGATCCAAGAGTAAGATATTGGCAGTATTCTCAGTACATACAGTCTCAGAATTCAATGGCACTGAGTTCTGCTACTACTACCACTTCTCAAGATATTCCTATG